TAGGCTGAAGCAATAGGGTTAGGGAGGGAGGACAAAGGGGGTGGCCATGGGTACCCGCGTGGGCCCAAGCTATGCCTGCCTCTTTGTAGGTTGTGGAACAATCCCTCTTCCGTAGCTACACTGGCCCTAAACCCCACCTCTTCCACCATTACATTAATGACTGTATTGGCGCCGCCTCGTGCTCCCACGAGGTGCTCAAACAATTCATCCACTTCACCAACACCTTCCACCCCAACCTTAAGTTCACCTGGACCATCTCGAACACCTCTCTCCCCTTCCTGGACCTCTCTGATTCCATCTCTGGCAACCACCGAGAAACCGATATCCATTTCAAGCCCACCGACTCCAACAGCTGCCCAGAATACACCTCCTCCCACCCACCTTCCTGCAAAAATACCATCCCTTATTCCCAATTCCTTCGCCTCTGCCGCATCTGCTCCCAGGATGAGGCATTCCACTCCCGAACATCTCAGATTTCCTCGTTTTTCAAGGACCGCAACTCCTCCCCCTCAGTGGTCGAGAACGCCCTCGACCGTGTCTCCCGCATTTCCCGCAACTCATCCCTCACACCCCCTTCCCGCAATAACCACCAAAACAGAATCCCCCTCATCCTCACATACCACCCCACCAACCTCCGGATCCAACGCATCATCCTCCAACACTTCAGCCATCTGCAATCCGACCCAACCACCAAAGACATTTTTCCCTCCCCACCCTTATCTGCTTTCCGGAGGGACCACTCTCTCCATGACTTCCTTGTCCACTCCACACTCCCCTCCAGCCCCACCACACCTGGCACTTTTCCCTGCAACCACAGGAAGTGCTACACCTGCCCCCATACCTCCTCCCTCACCCCCATCCCAGGCCCCAAAAAGACTTTCCACATCAAGCAGATGTTCACCTGCACATCTGCTAATGTGGTATACTGTATCCACTGTTCCCGTTGTGGCCTCCTCTACATCGGGGAAACCAAGCGGAGGCTTGGGGGATTGCTTTGCGGAACACCTACGCTCGGTTCGCACTAAACAACTGCACCTCCCAGTCGCGAACCATTTCAACTGCTCCTCCCATTCCTCAGACGACATGTCCATCCTGGGCCTCCTGCAGTGCCACAACGATGCCACCCGAAGGTTGCAGGAACAGCACCTCCTATTTCGCTTGGGAACCCTGCAGCCCAATGGTATCAATGTGGACTTCACAAGCTTCAAAATCTCCCCTCCCCCTACCGTATCCTAAAACCAGTCCAGCTTGTCCCCGCCTCCCTAACCTGTCCTTGCTCCCACCTATCCCTTCCTCCCACCTCCAAGCCCCACCCCCATCTCACCCCCTTGACCTGTCCGTCCTCCCTAACTCCCCACCTACACTCACCTTTACTGGCTCTATCCCCACCTCTTTGACCTGTCTGTCTCCTCTCCACCTATCTTCTCCTCTATCCATCTTCTATCCGCCTCCCCCTCTCTCCCTATTTATTTCAGAACCCCCTTCCCCTCCCCCATTTCTGAAGAAGGGTCTAGGCCCGAAACGTCAGCCTTCCTGCTCCTCTGATGCTGCTTGGCCTGCTGTGTTCATCCAGCCCTGCACCTTGTTATATCAGGGATAGGGTTAGGGTTAGTTTTAACTATCTGAAGCTGGCTGAGTGAATGATCGATCTTAGCCTCCTTCTGAAGTATTACAGATACCAGATATCAGCCAATTAAGTTCACTCCATGCATCAAGAAACAAGGCACTTGATACTTAGACTGTTGACCCTGACAATATTACAGCAATACGTCTGAAGACTTGACTCGAGTTAGTTTTGTGTCCTAACCAAACTGTCCCAGTGCAGCTGCAAACTAGGCATTTGCCACATAGTATGGAATATTGCCCAGGTATGTCCTGTCCACAAAAAGCCTGGAAAATATCCAATCCAGCCAATTAATTCCTCAACAGTCCACACTCTGCCATCTGTGAGTGACAGGTTTCCTTGAAAGAGCTACTGAGTGGCATTTGATCAGCTATAGCCTGCTCATTGATGCTCAGTTTGTATTCTGCCAGAGCCACCAAGTCCCTGGCCCCCTTTGCAACCTTGATGAAGTATGAGCCAAAGGTGAAGTGAAGTGACTGTCCTTGCTATCAAGGTTGCATTTGACAGACTGTGGCATGAAGGAGATCTAGCAAAACTGATTGGAGTCATACCTAGCAAAAATGAAGATGATTGTGGTTGTTGGAGGTTAATCATCTTGGTGCTTCAGGATATTTACCAAAGGAGTTTCTCGCAGTAGTGTCGTAGACCCAATCATCATCATCTACTGAATCTGTGATGTGACCTCCATCATATATGGTCAGAAGTGGGATGATCATTATTGGTTGCACAATGTCCAGCACCATTTACAACTTCTCAGATACTGAAGCCATCCATGTCCGTATGAGTCGAGACCTGGACAATATCCAGGCTTAGGTTTGTATGTGGAAAGTAACATTCATTCTGCGCAAGTATCAGATAATCATCTCCAACGAGAAGGATCTAACCATCTCCCCATGACAGTCCGTGGCATTACTAATGAATTTACAGCAGCACAGGGCCTTGGTGAGAACACGCCTGGAGTATTGTGTACAACCCTTACTGTATGAAACATGTACTTGCCATACAGGGAGGACAACAAAGGTTCACCAAACTTATTCCAGGCCTGGCAGGTTTATCATATGAGGAGAGATTGAACTAACTGGGCCTGTATTAATTTATTTTAGAAGAATGAGAGGAGATTTCATCAGAGTAAATGGAATTCTGACAGGGTTGGACAGTCTAGATCCAAAGGTGATGTTATATTGTCTGGAGGATTTAAAAACAAATGATCATAGTCTCAGGTCATGGGATAGACCACATCAGTCTTAGATGAGAAATGTCTTCACTCACAGGTTGGAATTGAAATTGAAAGCTTTAGAGACCTAATCACGAATATATTTAAGACAGGAATAGATTTTCTAAAGGCCAGAAGTGTCCAAGGATATGGCATTGAGATGCAGGATCAGGCATGATCACGTCAAATAACAGATGGGCTGAATGGCCTACTCCTCTTATTTTCTATCCTATGTCCCCTACTGACAACATCCTGGGGGGTTACCATTGACCAGAAACTGAACTGGATCAGCCACATCAATAATGTGGCTACAAGAGCAAGTCAAGGCTAGGTGAGTAGCTCACTTTCTGTCTCCCCAAATCTGTCCAGTACCTTTTAACATACAGGTCAGGGGTGTCATGTAATACTGTGCATTTGCCTGGATGAGTGCAGATCCATCAACACAAAGCTCAGCACTGCTTAGGGCAAACAACCTGCTTGATTATCATGCATCCACCAGCTTCAACATTTATTCTCTCCACCACTGCACTGTGGCAACCCCATGCAGCAACTCACCAAGAATTGTTTGACAGCACCTTCCAAACCCTGACCTTTCCCACCTGCAAGCTCCCCTTCAACTCGCACACCATCCTAAGTTAAAACTGTAACACCACTTGTCACCAGGTCAAAATCCTTCCTGATGGCACTATGGGTGTCAATAAACCTCAGGGACTGCAGCAGTTCAAAAAGGCAGCTCAACACCATGTACTTCAGGGCACTTAGGAGAGGCAATAAATCCTAGCTAATGACACTCATCCCATGAATGAATTTAAGAAGAGACACAAAACTGAGCTGTCCATTAGGGGATGAGCAAAATCATGTTGAATGCTGTGAGGAATCCTGAGGAAAATATATACTGTCTAAGCTGGAAAAAAAAAAGTCATGTTTCGATTCTCAAGTTGACCATTTTGAGATGATTAATTTCTTTGGACAGGTTTGTTGAAATTGAGAACAAGTATAATTATGTGCTTGTGAAGTTGATAGTTCATGAATAATACGGAACAATGCAGTCTGTTTTAAATAATGTACAGCAGCAAGTACCTGATATCGTCTAACAGCCTATTCCTATTTTAAATTCTTTGAAATCACATGCTGAACAACTTGTTCGCAGTACGCCTAGAGATGCTTATTATCTATAAATAAACAAGTCCTTTTCTGAAGAACCACAAACCGTTCAGTTGATTCCATTTTTTTGTGAAAATAATTACACCTCTGCCAGCTAATTTTATTGCCTGTGTTGAAAGGCTTTTATTATTCCCTGTCAACTTACGTCAGTGTTTATTGTATTTAACCTATTCCCGACTGTACATCCTGAGTGACTTCAGTATGTATTGTGAAACGTATCACATTTCCCCCTCTTCCTTTCTACTTCCCAAATCTCCCCCACGTATTTTAGTTGCCTCAATTTCTAAGGCTGAGTCCAGAATCTGCCCCATTTTGCATCATGAGAATAGTCTGACAGTAAATGTGTATCAAGTGTCAAGTTTTCATTATTGATGCTGCACAGTTTCTTAAAACTGTGACCCTTTTTTGTGTTGGAGCAGGACACAGTTAAATGTTCATTCTTTGATCCTTGTAAGAAACACATAGTAAATAACTTACCATTTAGTTTCTCCAGTTTTCTAAATGCCTGTTGTTTTTGTATGAGTGGAATCCGATTTCACTGTCACAAACTTATTTTGTTGTGCTGCTTATGTTTCATCTGTAACTGATCAAAAGAAAAGCTTTCACAATAGATGTATTCATTAATTCAGTCTAAATACAGTTCATTGATACATTTTTAGGGAGCTTTTAAGCATGTTTATAGAGGCTGTGATATTAAATGCTCAGATTCTTCTGTTTGTTTTTTTTTATTTAGAAACTACAAATTCAGAAAATAACTAATTTTGTGAGATTCAGCAATAGTCAGAAAAGTATCCTAACTTCTAGAAAATGGTTACTATTACAGTGCTACAAGAATGAGATAATGGAAATTAAGGAAATAAGTTGCTGAGGGAAGCAATGAATTATTGCTATTTGACTTTATTTTAGAAAGGAAAGGTAATGCAGTAGACTGCGTTAGTAATTGGATTGTACCTATTTTCACTTGGTCACTGAGGTTGACTTTTTTTTTTTCTGTTGCAGGTTCCAGAAGCCATTCTGAAGTGTCAGCGAGCTGGTATAACTGTGCGAATGGTGACTGGAGACAATATTAATACCGCACGTGCCATTGCCACAAAGTGCGGCATCATTCACCCTGGAGAAGATTTTCTTTGTCTAGAAGGAAAAGAATTCAACCGGCTTATCCGCAATGAGAAGGGCGAGGTATAGCTGTCACCAATGATGAGATGCTGAATAACACACACAGTAGAGAGAGTTTACAGTGCAGGAACATTATTCTCAAAGTGACCAAATACCCAAGAATAAAGCTGAAGGAGATGTCAGACAACTCTGTCGTTGCTGCCTTAAGCTCAGTCCAAAATTAAGCAAGGAAAGCAAGTGAAATGTATTTCTTCAATCAGCTGCCCTGCCCCGTACCTCCCATTTCCCCCACTCCTCTTCTAAATGCCCATGCTGTCAACATTGCTGTTACCATTTTCTGCCCAGTAAGAGGTACATGAAAACTTCCCAACAGTTTCCTTCTGGGATTCCTCTTCCATGTCAACAGAGTTCAGCTTGGAAACCCATCACAATGAGTTTCGGAGGCATGGACTACATTTTAAAATTCTTAGTTTTGATTGATTCAAGGTGTATATTTTAAATTTCCAGCAGTTTAAGATTTAGAACTGACTCTGATTCTGATGTGTGAAGCAATACAGGCTGCATCTTGCAGGCCTTTGTAATGTAAATACTTTACATGGCTCACTGAAGGATACTGCAAGGTTATTTTTTGTACGGGTTGTTCTGTGTTGTAAATATTAGGAAGCTATATTACTGGCAAAACAATGGAATGGTTTAAGGCATCTCTTCAAATGTGCAATAGGTCGTAAGTATGCCAGTTAGGTCACTGTCTTTCTTCCTTTGGGGTGGGGTTGGAATGATGAGATAAATTGGATCTTGCCATTTTTCTTTGTGCAAATTTGTTTGTAATTAATCAGATTTGGAAATTTATTGCCAATTTTGTAATACCTGGAGTCTTCAAACCATATGATAGCATCAGTATTTGTCCAGGAATAGTCCTATACTCTTGTTCCTCGGAGTGCTGGCTTAACGCAAGAAGAGGGGAAAAATACAGTTATTCACTGCCTTACCACCTCTCAGATTTTGACTTAGTGGTGGTTGTTCGATGCCTGCAGTGTCTCAAAAATAGAACCAAAATGAATCATCGCTCATCCTGTTTTTGGCATTGATTGTGGGAGGAGACTATCCTTTCCATTCAAACAGATTTTTAACCTTCATGAAAGGCAAACCATTCAAAGTATCCATAGGATGCTAACTTGGACAGTACAGAACTTGCTAGGTAGTGCACTGGAGAGTCAGTCTAGTTCTGAGAGAGACTATCACCTGCACGCAGCTGCTAGAAACTGAACCAAGATCATACTGTCAGGAAACAGTCTTGTTGTTGTGGTAGGCTTGGTAATATCCAACTCGAGCAATAACAAAGAACAGGCTTTGTGCTGGAGAAATTTTGAAAGAATCCTAGAATCCCTACAGTATGAAAGCAGGCCATTTGGCCCAACAAGCCCACAACGACCCTCTGAAGAGCATCACACCCCCCCCCCCCCCCCACCTTATCTCTGTAATCCTGCATTTTCAATGGCTGACCCACCTAGCCTGCACATCCTTACACACCATGGGCAGTTTAGCATGGCCAGTCCACCTAACCTGCACATATTCGGACTGTGGGATAAACCAGAGTGCCTGGGGGAAACCCATGCAGACAGTTGCCCAAGGGTGGAATCAAACCCTGGGTCTGAGCCAACATGTAACTGCAAATAGTATAATTCTCAGCCACATTGTAACTGGCATTTCCTGGAAGCAGATGGTCTCAGTAGAACCGTTGGAAATTCACGTAATACTTGCAAAATCCACCTTACAAGTTGAATTCTGGTGGCCTTCCATCACATGCATCATAACAGCCAACCAGCCTGGTATTGATGAATCATTAATTTTACAATATTGGTGGCGGGCCAATGTGAAGCAATTCTAGCTTGTGCTTCAATATTTGTATCAGGCTCTTCTTTCCCAAATTTCGCAACAATGGACTGGAAACCTGAATAATCTTCATTCTAAATTACCTTTACTCCTTGCCCTGTAGCAGTTCGCATTATACTCATCTCACGTGCAAAAATTGTCAACAATGAAATCGGGAAAGTTTTTCTGAAGTACATGTGATATTCCAATCCCCTTATTATGACAAGTCTCCATCTTCATTACTAATGTGGTCTACCTGGACAGGAGAAAGCACTGGAGTACTTTCCTTCAATATGCAGCTCCTGCAGGTACAGGAACTATGGACTGGCTTCAGACCAAAAGGTTCAAACCCAAAAGTTACAGTGAGTCTTTCAAAGATCATACTCAGTCTAGGAGATGGAAACTGAGTTCTCTGTACTAAGTAAACATTTACCCAGTTCATGTTGAGGGATTGAAATGTGCATTATATCTGGTAGATGATTATATCTGTTAGTTTCACTGCTCAAATTCTTGCCCATTGTCAATGTCTTTTGTTAATATTTACTAAATGAAAAGATCTCTGTTCTTGTTAATGATTTACTCTGTTCACTCTAAAGAGCGATCAATAGTGAACTCAGAACACAAGCAGTTAGGTCAGTTTTACATTGTGCTTACCAGTTATTGGAACAAGTGCTGACACAAAATGCAGACTCCACTGCAAAACAGTCTCATTTATAAGTGGTTTTGGGCATGTTAATTTTAATTTAATATAGCATGATCTTATGGTAGCAATTAGATTTGAAACCAAGAAATATATTAAATACGTGGCTAAGGTTAGTTATGATGGCAGATCAAGCATGTAGCCTAGGGCTTCTGGGCCCTACTTTACTTTTAAGGTGGTACCAGGAGGCAGAGATCTGTAAAGTGGAGAGACATATGATGCTCTATCTTGTCTCTTTTATTAGTATCCACCTAATCTTCCCTTGCCAACTCTCTGACACCTGGTGGAAACACCTGTCCTTTTTGGTCAGGCATTTGTAAATGAGACAGTAAAGAAAGTCCTCCATAAGTCACCATAAGTCCTCCTTTTTGATTTTGAAACATAGAAAGTGGAAGAGGCCACTTGGCAGTTTACCATTTGAGATAGTGACTGAGCTTTATATTATTATCCACCTTAAATCCATTTCCCTTCTTAGCCTTGCCTAACAATAATCAACCTGTTATAACTTACATCAGTGCCAAGTGGTTGTTTAGAAGTTTGTTACTACTCAGTAAGTGGGAGAAAGGAAGAAATGTCTGACTTGATCGCATAAATGATCAATGTTTTTGTTTCCTTTTCATTTTTTTTCTCTGCTACTTATTTAGTAATCTCGATCTGTCCTTAATCACCAAGCAGCGTGATCACTGGCCAACAGCTCCTGCCCTCACAGTGACCACATCCCTTACTTTCCTAACTGCCTGCTGCTCTTCCAAATCACAGACTAGTCCTGTTGCACATTTGGCAAGGGAGAGAACCAGCCTGTTATTGCAGAAGCAGCTGTTCACCAATTCTGTCCATCCAATTTTATGGACGTGACTTCTCTCCCATTGGTTGCCCCCATGATTGAATTTTGTTAGGTTTTCTAGAAGCCATTTTGCCCACCATTCCTGTGTGCTTTTGACAACCTTTCAATTGTACCACAGCATATAGGCATAGGTGTTCCAACTGAAGCACATTTCTGCAAAGAAATCATGCCTTACCTTGGATTTTGCCTAAAGGCTTTCTTTCAGCACCAGTGGTCTTGCAGGCTGGGTGCATAAGACCACATTTAAGCACCTGATGGTGTGCCCCATTGTCAACGATGCTCATGCTTTTGTTCCTTTCTAATTCTCTTGAATGCAACTCGGCGTGATTGAGCCAGGTATAAACTGTTACAGGAATTTATTTGTAGCAAGTAAATATTTTGTGATGCAAATGCAGTATTGGGCTCCTGCTACACTTCATTCCTGTTGAAACGATATAATTATTTTAGTGTTGTTGCACACTGAATAAATGTGACTTACAAAGAGATGACCCCTTGGAAGCTCCAGACTATGAATTCTCCCCTCGAGGATAGTAGAACTAGGATGAGCCTCAGGAGAATCATTAACAATGATCCATTTTCAAAACAAACTGAGGGAGGAGACTTTCCCTTCACCTTACTATCCTGTCTGTACATTAAAGTTTTTGATCCAAAAATGAATGTGTGATCATCTACAGATTCTTCTTCATTTACATGAACCCATGGAGCTTTCATTCATATCCCCTGCATAAAGCAGGTACCAGGCTGTGTCCAAATCTGTCTGCATAAAGAACATCAGTACATCAGTAATGCCAATGGAAAAACACACACTGCCTGTGACTAGTATTTCTTACCACTTTGTTTCCTCTTGGCTTGAGTGCAATGTTTGAACTATTAAACATAGCTTTGAATGGCTGGAGTGCATGATCTGGTTATTTGCTGCATTCCAAATGAAGTCCCTTTAAGACTGTAGTGACCCACATTTAATAACAGTTACGTCCCTGCATCTTTCACTTGCACTGTTGCCCTGAGTAATCTAGCCCTTCTTCATTTTGATGACTTGCAAGTATTGGAGAGCAGATGTATACAGTATCATGAAAGATTACATAATGCTGCATGCTGACTCACTTCAGTGGATTGTAATACTGTGAAGCCACTTAGTGTGGCACTTTACCTGCAAATATCAAGCCTTTGGATCCGAATGCTCCAACCCTTCAGCTAAGATATTATCAATGCTTGTCTTCCCTGCAGCAATGACCTTTTTGACACATTCCACTGCTTGGGTCGCTCATCTGTGCCATTAGCTGGCCGGCGCATACCCTTTTAGGTAACTCCTTCAGTTGATTTAGACATCTCCGATGATAAGAGTTTGTTTGACAGCATATGCCCTGAAATGCTCACTTGCACTGTTGCACTGGTAGATCTCTCACCCAGATGAGGAATTAAAGGTAGTGCATGTTTTTGAAGTGCAAAATTCACCCTTAGTTTTTAATGGGCCTAGGGGGTGTGTTTAAATATTCCTAATGTATTAGTTTCTATTTCCCTTCTGTAAGTGAGTGAGCTTCCAGTCAGTGGTGTTCCTGATACCTAGAGCATTGCTTAAATTAAGGTAACCTAGTAAACGGTAACGTAGCCTACTTCGCATTATGCAGGTGGAAAATTTAGGTAAATGTATGTTCAATTGATGGTTTCCCTATTGTCTTAATCTTTTATCTCAGTCATGGCATCTTGATGCATTTGTGCTGAAAGCTGCTTTGAGCATTATGCTGGAAACATATTTCCACTACCTGGAAACATTGAAGGAATGCATCAAAACTTTGTGCCTTCTGTACTTAAAGTGTAGTTTCACTCTCACTTGCAAAGCTCTTTGTTTTTTTTGTTTGATATAAGTGGTGAGATTCTTTTCTGTGTGTGTGTGTGTATGTATGTGTGTAATTCCAAATTTTATCAAACCAAGACCTTGTGTTAGTTTCCAAAAGCAGCAAAACCCTTTCCAGAACAATTTCTGTACCAACGCAAGTGGGAGGACAGAAGGCAATATGTCTTTTGTGGTGTTGAACTTCTTAAATGATGGAATACATTTGTACTAAGTATGTAGTCTTTCTTAGCTTATGAATCTTTTGGATGCTTCAGACAGCTGGTTGGGAAACTTATATACTGTCATTTAGCATTCTCTCTTTATAATTCTGGCATCAATTGTTATAAAGAAATTTCATATTTAATGTTTTCGTTTCCTAAGGTTGAACAAGAACGTCTTGATAAAGTTTGGCCAAGTCTCCGAGTACTTGCACGATCATCCCCAACAGATAAACACACACTAGTGAAAGGTATCTGAATGAAGTTTTATTCCGTAAGACAGTTGTACTGTTCCCTGCTGATATACTATAAAACTGGATGGGCAAAAGATTTAACCTGCAAATGTTTCCTATTCTTGATTTTGGAGTAATGTTGTGTGGAAGAAATGAGGATGATTTGCATTGTTTTCAATGTATCCTCGATGTTGCAGCTCAATAGTAAGTGGAAATGAGGGTGGAGGGTTGAACATTGATACAAATTTTTTATATCCATGAAATTGCAGTTGAGAAATATGATTCATTGGAATAAAGCTGCATGAAGTGTTTTACATCTATATTTGTTCATAATTCAGATACAAACTGCAAAATCTGTTGTGCTGTCCTTTTTCTTTTTTAAAAAAAAGGTCAATGATATACAAATATCAGCTAATTGAAAAGACTGTAAATGATGCATAACTCTGGACATATAGCAATCTGCACAGAGAAAAACAAATGAAATATGATTTGAAACCTCATACCTGCAGTGCTGAAACTGGCCTAATTTATTCCAGATAAGTGGAGAGGCACCTTCCTAACTCAATTAGGTTGATTTTGATTTGTAATAGTTTTGAAAGGGCTATTTCTGTCTACTGATTGCAACCATTGAGCCATTATTGCTGGAATAAATGTGGTCAAGCTATTTTGATATACTTGGCCCCTCTATATGTAAATGGGATGGGGGGTCGCAGAAACATACGTAAGCATACTCCTACTGGGTAACTAATGAGGGTAAATTTATTATTAATAAATGAGAGTTGAGTTCCTTTTACTGCTTACAGTTATTTTTGTGTGTATGTGTGTAGGGGAGGGTGCAGGTTCTTATCAAGGTTAGGGCGGCACGGTGGCTCAGTGGTTAGCACTGCTGCCTCACAGCACCAGGGACCCAGGTTCAATCCCAGCCTCAGGCGACTGTCTGTGTGGAGTTTGCACATTCTCCCTGTGTCTGCGTGGGCACCCTCCGGGTGCTCCGGTTTCCTCCCACAGTCCAAAGATGTGCAGCCTAGGTGGATTGGCCATGCTAAATTGCCCATAGTGTTCAGGGATTTGTACATTAGGAGGGTTATAGGGGGATGGGTCTGGGTGGGATGCTCTGAGGGTCAGTGTGGACTTGTTGGGCTGAAGGGCCTGTTTCCACGCTGTAGGGATTCTATGGAATCCTATGAAACATGCTAAATTCAAGATTATCTGTGTACCTGAGGAAAAGGCGTCTTTCAGTATGAAACTGTCAGAATAATCTTTGCTGAAATTAGCTTGTCAGCCCTTGAATGCGTTGCATCCAGATTCCATGATTCGCAAATGGCTTACTGAGTGAATTTTTCAATTTCAAAGCAAGCAAGGTTACAGGGAGCTTCGTTCTGCCACATGATGTCTTCTCTCAAGTCTGTTTTTTGAATTAAATGTCTAAAGAGCTTCTTACTGCCCAAATGGGAAGCAGAAGCACAGCTATCTTAATTAATGGCTTCAATCATTTGCAAAATAGATACTTGCAGAGTGTGAAAAATCAACAATTCGATATCATTTTCTGCCATTTATTTTGAATTATTGATAAGGGAATACCAGACTTGGGAAGTTGCTGCCCTTAAAGTAGTGGATGTGCAAAAAAACCATGTCATTGCAAATAATTTATGATGCTTGATGACCAAAAGCACTTCAGTATTCCCCTCTCAGTTTAATTTTCTCTCCCATGTTTGGTTTCTCCTTCTGTGATTTTGCAAGTTAATCCACAAAGTCAGAGCCATAAATGTCAGAGATTTGATTCTCTACCTCTCCTCAGTTATACCATTGCAGTCTGTCCAGTGTTAGGGACATTGTGTTATAGGTTTTTGTGAGGATGTTACTGATAAAGGGGAGTTGAAGGATAATATATACTTGGATTTTCAGAAGGCTTTTGATAAAGTCCCCACAGAAGGTTAGTTAGCAAAATTTAAAGTACATGGGATAGGAGATAATGTACTGTCATTGAATAAGGATTGGCTAACAAACATAAAACACCAGGTGGGCATAAATAGGTCATTCTCCTGATGTCAGACTGTGCCTAGAGGCTTGCTGAAACGATCTGTACTTGGGCCTTTGCTGTTCATAATTTATGTCAGCGATTTGGATGTGGAGAACAAACATAACATTGCTAAATTTGCAAATGTTACAAAGCCAAGCAGGAATGTGTATGGCAGGAAGATGTAAAGATATTTCACGCGGATCGGGACAGGCCTGGTGAGTGGGCAAGAACATGGCAGATGTAATATAATGGGGAAAAATGTCACCAATTTGGGAGGTAGAACAGATGCAGTGCATTTCTTAAATGGTGAGAGGTTGAAAAGTCTGGATATGTGAAAGGGATTAGGTATCCTTGTCAATAAGTCACTGAAGGCTAACAAGCTATTCGGAAAGCTAATGGAGCATTAAGCTTTGTTGCAAGAGGTTTTGAGTACAGGAATAATGAAGCCTTACTTTTGTAGGAACTTGGATAGACCACACCTGATGTAGCGTGTGCCTTTTTGGTCTCCTTAATTCAGGAAAGATATTGTTGCCATAGAACGAGTGCAGCAAAGGTTCACCGGACTTGGCAGGACTGTCCAATAAAGAGCAGACTGTGCAAACTGGGCTTGTGTTCTCTAGAGTTTCAAAGAAAGAGAAGTGATCGTTGAAAACTACAAAATACTAAAAAAGATAGACGTGAACTGTAGGCTCCTGTCTTGAACCAGGAGGCGCAATTTAAAAATGAAGGGATGCCATTTAATACTGAAATGAAGAGATTCTGTTTTTATTGAGAAAGTGGTAAATCTTTGGAATTCTCTACCCCAAAGTGCTGTGGAAGCTCAATCTGAATATATTTATAGCCTAGGTTGATTAGATTTCTGATTACCAATGGTGTAAACGGTTATTGGGACAATGTGGATAAAGAAAATTGAATTGGTCAATCAGTCATGATCATGTTGAATGGCAGAGCCATCTCGACATGCTGAATGGCCTACTCCTGCACCTATGTTCCCATGTATAATTGTTTATTACTTCCAAGGGCAGCAGAGTATGACTGGTCACTTAATTGATTGCAGTTCAGTAACTAGTACTTTGGAGAAACTTGGGTTGTTCTCGCTGGAGCGATGGAGGTTGAGGGATGATCTGATAGAGGCCTACAAGATTATGAAGGGCATGGACAGATTGGACAGTCAGAAGCTTTTTCCCCAGAGTGGAAGAGTCAGTTACTAGGGGGCATAGGTTCAAAGGGCAAGGTTTAAAGGTGATGTACGAGGCAGGTTTTTTTACACACAAGTTGGTGGGTGCCTAGAACTCACTGCCGGGGGAGGTAGTGGAAGCAGATACGATAGTGGCTTTTAAAGGGTGTCTTGACAAATACATGAATAGGATGGGAATAGAGGGATAATGGTCCTGGGAAGGGTAGAGGGTTTTAGTTGTGACAGGCAGCATGTCGGTGCAGGCTTAGAGGACCGAAGGGCCTGTTCCTGTGCTGTAGTTTTCTTTGTTCTTAGTACTGAAAACCATAATGAAAGTCACTGTCAAGGGCCACAAAAGTAAAAGTTAAGCATTGGAGTGTCAAGCTTCGCCAGTGCCTATGGAACTGCAGTCCAGAATTATCGGAGAGAAAATTTTTTTTTCAAAAACTATTTCCAAAATAGCTTTAAGACTCTGGGCTGTTTCTTGTTTTGTTTCCCTGCCAACCACCCCCTCCTCCGTAACGAAAGCCAAACTCTTTTTATGTGGCATAAGCTTTGTAGAGAAAAATCTGATTTGAATTTTTTTTAAAGAGTGAAGTGACATTAATTTTGATGACCTGACAGAAAATATCTTTCTTTCTGTTTCTTCTCCTACCCCTCCAATTTTTAAACATACTTCAAGAGAGCAATGCATCTTGATGAAAATCTACTTTAGGCTTTATGAAAAGTACACACTGTGCATAATCATCTGCATATATAACATAATGAAACAAAGCTCAAACCATTCATACTGAAGAATTTAGACATTGGAATATTGTGTAGAAGTATAATTGATGAACTCTACATTAGAAACTTAACAGTAGAGTTTGAGACTACATCTTTTCCAACTGCCCACTAGAGGCAAAGATGAAAACCTTTCACTTTGGCTTTATATATATTTATTTTTAAGATGTGTATTGGAGTTATTTCTTGAAGTATGATGTGTTCTCCAATTTTATTTTAAAATATTGGATACTTCATATCTTTAGGTTTTCATGTGGACTGTTCTGGAAGATTCCACTTTGTGCTTGGCAGAAGTATAAGATAATATCATATGTGCCAAAATAAAATGGGGTTCAGAGTTCAACTACCCTGAATTCATTATCCCAGTTTTTATAAATACACTAGTTTTTTTTTATTCTGCAAAGTGCTACTTTGTGGGTCTATTGGGAGACTGATACAGTGAGTGTTACTTTGTCAATGCTCAGGGAATTGATCAGCACATTTCCCTCGAAATGAGATTTAATTTATTTTTGGAAATAGGGAGGACAGGATTTGACAGCCAAAGTTGTCTTAACTCTGCCATAAAGTTTGAAGAACATTAAAATATGTTTTAACATTCTAATATTTGCATTAGGCCAGGCCTGACATATTTGGAATTTCCTTGGACTTGTTTTCCTATAACTCTTGCCAAGTGGAATAACTTCTCATGGTGCTAAACCCATGTAATAACATTGGACTAAAGTAAAACAAAGAACGGCAGATGCTGGAAATCTGAAGCAAAAACAGAAGTAGCTGGAGAAACTCTGCAGATCTAGCAGTATCCATGGAGAGAAATGGTTACATTGACCCTTCCTCAGAATTACATTGGACACACACTCTTCCCATTGATTTAGAAAAGAGCTGTCAACAAGTGTGGCTAGTGAACAGTAAATTTTGGCAGCAGGGATCAGAAACAGTATTGGGAATTGGATTGGGTTTCAACTACAGTGTAAGATGTGAAATTATAAACCTGTATGTTAAATCGAATCAAAGCAAGTATGCAAATGTGCATTGCAAAATTTCATTCAGTTGTAAGTATACAAAATCATTAATGTTTAAGAAAATTAATTGGGCAATGAAGGTAGACATTTCCATAAAAATGCTTAAAACAACTATTATATTCTAAGAGTATCTAGCATACAATTTAATGGTAACATAGACAATGCAATTGCTTGAAAACAAATATTGCATTATTTGTTATTGGATAATAACTTGGAGATGCTTTTGCTAACTACAGGTAAAATAATGAAAAAATACAACTCCTCTGCTACTATTTCCACTTAAAAAACTGTACATTGTCGGATTTTAAGGCAATTGCATAGCCTTGATTGAGTTTGATTTTCTTTGTACAGGTATCATTGACAGCACAATTGGAGAGATGCGGCAAGTGGTGGCTGTGACTGGAGATGGGACAAATGATGGTCCAGCGCTGAAGAAGGCCGATGTCGGCTTTGCTATGGTACTCTGATTTTCCTTTTATCTTGAGGGGTCACTAAGTTATGGCTGATGTTTATGGAATACATTGTTAAATTGGGAATTGTCAGCCTGCCTCAGTGGCTGCGCCATTGCCTCTGATTCAAATGGTGTTAGTTTCATATCACAGACAAGAGATTGGAGCACATTCTCAAACTGCAATGTAGCAGTGAAGTGGGGTGGTGGAGGCGGGGCGTGCATTGTTGGGAAAACGGCCTTCGAATTGAAATGTAAATCTGATGTTCCGTTTGCCCAAACGCTTTAATAATGTCATGGAGTCGTGGAATCATTCAGTACAGAAGAAGCCATTCGACCCATTGAGTCTGTTCCACCGAAAATATCGTACCTACACGAGTCACACTTTACTGCACTAGGCCCATAACCTTGCATGTTACGACACTTCAAATGCTCATCCAAGCACCTTTTTTAAAAGACTGAGAGATTTCCTGCCTCAACAGTACATTTTAGACCCCCACCGCTCTCTGGGTAAAAGTTTTATTTCCTCAAATCTCCTCTGAACCTCCTGCCTTCCACTTTAAAATTATGCCCCCCTCATTATTGACCCTTCAGTTAGCTGCTTTCTATTCACCCTGTTCATGCTCCTCAAGCTTGTGCACCTCTATCAGGTACCCCTCAAATATCTATGCTCCAAAGAAAGCCACCCTGAGTTTATCCAGCTTCTCATCGTAGCTGAAATGTTCTATCCCCGAGAATCTCCTTTGAACTTCTCCTCCAGTGCAATCACATCTTTTCTTTCCAATAGACAAACACCTTTTATACTCTTCACTGGGCCCTATTAGAAGGTAGGTTGCTGCTGTCCATTCCTTGCAATTGCACAAACTGGAGCTGCCTCCCATAGATAAGGTCAAGTGTCTGGTTCCTATCGCACAACAATGATCAGTACAGCACAGGAACAAGCCCCAGTAAGCCTTTCTAAACTAAAACCTTTTAGTCTCTACATGGTCCGTATCCCTCTACCTAACTATTCATGTATCTGTCAAGATGCATCTTAAACATTGCAATGTTTATCTGCTTCTACCACCTTGTCTGGCAGTGCTATCCGGGCATTTGCCACCCTCTGTATCAGGGGGTTGGGGTGGGGGGTTGGTGCACGAGTGGTTGGGCACATTATTTCTCATATCTCCTTTAACCCCCCCCCCCCCCCCTTACATTAAACCTATGTCCCCTAGTAATTGACATTTCTACCCTGGGAAAAAGACTCCAACTATCCATTCTATCCATGCCTGTTATAATTTTGTAAACTTCTGTCAGGTCGCCCCTCAGCCTCTGACGCTGAAGTGAAAACAAACCAAGTTTTCCCAATCTCTCCTCGTAGTTAATACCCTCAACACCAGTCAACATCCTGGTAAGCCTTTTCCATACCCTCTCCAAAGCCTTCACATCCTTCTGTTTGTGAGAAACTTCAATGTATAAGTAACGTAGCAGGGTCAGAAAACAAAGATGAAATCACAAGCTGGATGTGTTTCACCTCTGTGTAAGTAGTGGGCTGGAAACTGCTGCAGAGACCCATTATTTTTATTTGTCATAGAAGGAGCAGTACTGGTGTGAAGAATATCTGAAATATCCAGTGTTATTTTAGTGCGGTATTTTTCCCGTTTCAATATTTAATATTTGCCAGGACACATGGGTTTATTTATAAGCTTCATTAGCATTTTATAGCTTTTTCTTAGATTATGTTAGGCAAGGATGTCAAGAACCAAGGTCAGGAGAAGGAATTCAGATGCATATCATGAGTCATGAAGACGTACAGCAGGGAAACAGACCCTTCAGTCCAACTCGTTCATGCCAGCCAGATATCCTAAACTAATCTAGTCCCATTTTCCAACATTTGGCCCATATCCCTCTAAACCCTTCCTATTCATATACCCATCCTGATGCATTTTAAATGTTGTAATTGTACCAACCTCCACCACTTCCTCTGGTAGCTCATTCCATGTACGCACCACCCTCTGAAAACGTTGCCCCCCGGGTTTCTTTTAACTCTTTCCCCTCTCACCTTGAACCAATGCCCTCAAGTTTTCAACGACTCTACTCTGGGAGGAAAAAGACCTTGGCTATTCATCCTATCCTTGCCCCTCGTGATTTTATAAACTTCTGTAAGGTCACCACTCTGCCTCTGACACTCCAGGAAAAATAGCCCCAGCCTATTCAGCCTCCCCCTATAGCTGAAACCCTCCAATTCCAGGAATATCCTTGTAAATCTTTTCTGAACCTTTCAAGTTTTGAATGCAGTAGTCGAAAAATGATCAACTAAGATCTCGCTGAATTCCAAGCAAACTTCAGTGGTGGTGTTGATCTGAACATCCTACTCCAGTTTCTGTGTTCCCACTAACTTATATAACAGACACCAAACTGAATGCCTCAACTTACTTTTTAAAAGATCTTGCATTATGACCTTGCCCGTGTGATTTATAGCCTGAAGAGAAAGTTTGTTGGTGTAAATGTAAAAGTTCTCTAAATGCAACTGCTGTCGCTTTACTGTCTGAACATCCTGCTCAGTTAACAGGTCATGTTAGTTGATTGAGCTTCTGCTTTCATCAGTTGATCCCTCATTTGATTTGTTTGCTTTTCAACATTGCACCACTATCTGGAGTTATTTTTGTAACAGTGAGCAAAATCATATCCTCCACTTTTGGACTAAAATAGCAATCCACTGCATAGGAGCTACCCAAACATCTTGTGGCTTTTGTGAACTTACAGATGCATTTCTAAGATGCACCCCACTTCATTTGCCACTAACCATGCAATATATTTAAGTAAACAAAACATTGCAGTCACTAAATTCAGAAGAGTTAAAAGGATATCATTGCAAAATCATGCAGCTCTAAGTTTTAATGTTCAGAGACTATAGTGTTTTTGTACCTAAAAGCATTAAAATGACTGAAGGTGGCATTTTTCAAACAAACATTGCCGTTAAGTTAACTCTCTGTGTAAGCTGATCTTCAACTCTATTAGTTCTTCCAAAAAAAAATTGGCAATAGGTGCCCTGTTTGACCAAGTTTGGAAAAGGTTAACCACAGTGTGGAGTATCTGTAAGTTGAATAGCAAAGCAATTTTATCCTTCAAAAGCACTGTGAAGTTCACCTTCAAATTTGGCTGAACAAAAGTTACTTACTCTGAAATTTAAAGTAGCATGACGTTAGTCTAGGATTCCGTGAATACTACTTTAATGCTCCCATTTCTTGGCAGCTGTACATTGCCAGAGTGAAAGACGACGTGTGTCCTTTAATTACAGGTCTGTTTGCCTAGGTGCCGATTGTATTGTTCCATCTCAATTTTATGAACTTGGAGAATGAGTACAAAAAAAGTGTCACAATATCTCATGATATTTTGGTGAACTAAATTGTTCTAATTAGCTAGTACTGTTTGAGTTCCAATATTGAGATTTAATTATTGCTTCATATAGTTTAAACTGCAGATTTTATTTGGAGCTTATAACAATACTCACATTGAATTAGATGTTGATTTATCAGGAAGAATCTTTATTGCTATTTAAAACTTGGATAGAATGCAAATAAAGTATATTCAAGTTTTTGAGAAGAATGATTGATTGTGTAGTGAAATTTTCTCAACTGACCATTCAGCAAAACATGACTATAATATAATTCATACTAACAATTTCCAGACCATGGCCATCTCGAACAAGAGCGGAGCTTACCTTCTCCCTTTAACATTCAATGGCATTAACATCACAGAAATCCCCACTGTAAACATCTTGAGGCTTACCATTGACCAAACATTGAATTGGAGTATTCATACAAGTACTGTGACCACAAAAACAGAGGCTACGAATCCTAGACTGAGGAACTACATGCTGATTCTCCAAGGCCTGTCCACCGTCTACAGGCAGAAGTCAAGAGTCTGATTGAGCCAAATGGAGCATATTCCATGTGTGCAAATCCAGCAACATGAAAGAAACTCAACACTATCCGTGCCAAAGCGACACACTTGATCAGTACCCCAGCAGTGTGCATCATCTACAAGATCCACTGCAATAACTGGACCAGGCTGTTATGCAGTATGTTCCAAACCCATCCCTCCACCACTTAGAAAGACAAGGGCAGCGGATTCATGGAAAAACTACCTACAAGTTTCCCTCCAAGTCACACACTTCTGTGACTTGGAAATATATTGCAGTTCCTTCCCTGAGGCTGGGTCAGGATCCTGGAACTCCTTCCTTAATAGCATGGACTACAGCTGTTCGAAAGGAAGATGGTTTATCAGCACCTTGACAAATGTGATTAGGGCAATTAATGCAGGCCTTGCTGGCGACATTCAGATCCTTTGAAATTTTTTTGGAAAATCTTTTTTTTTTAAAATGAGTTTTGAGAGTAAGCTGGTTTTACTGAACATGTGATCAATGTAAGAGGCACGAACAATCCTTTCCAAAGTTTTGTGTGATGTTCAAAGTCATTTTAAAACACATTTGATCAGTTCCTAGTTTGTATAACTTCCTACAGACTCAGAGCTGAGGCACTAATGCGAATGAGTTTTGAGGAAGAACTGTTCACAATCAGGAATAGATATTCCACTAAATAGTGACAAAGGTTACGGCAATTTTGGACTGTGTAATCGGCTGCTGAACTATACCAGGTCACAACTTTTACCATAAATTAATGCAGATGCTAATAATTCAGGGAAACTACAATTTTAGCAAATGTCTTTCTGGAGTTTCTACAAAGTAATTTTTTTTTAAAGAGAACAAGATTTGCTTTGAGGGAAAACCTATACAGTTACGTCCTTATGTGCCTATTTACGGGAACTTTGTCAACATTGGTGGTGATACAAAGAAAATTATTGTACGGTCTGTAAAGTTATTGTTGAGTTTTGGTTCAATTTATCATTATAGGTGATTTGTATCCATATCCTGGGCTATCCTAAGACCACAAATCCTTTCCATGGTCCACATTTATGCTTAGGTTTCTTTTCCTTTAATTTAAGGGACAAATCTGTTTCAGTATTCAT